CCTGTTTCCACCATACCCCGACAGTGGCCTTTTGGGAGATTTGATACTAAAAGGATATGTTTTCTTTATGTGTTGTGCCAGTTTCTTAGGTATTGTGTTGGCCTGTGCTGCAGTATCTATCTTAAATTGCACTTTGTGTCCTTTGATATCCAGTTGAACATGCCAAGCCTTTTCTTCTGTTGGATCCGAAACAGCAAAGATGGTTAAATCTGTGCTGCTGTCTGATTCACTCGCCTCCTGAATTTCATTTATCTTCTTGCTCTTGCACACCCTCGCAAAGTGATTTACTTTTTTGCAATTGCTGCATACCTTTCCATATGCAGGACACCTTCTTCTTTCATGTGTTTGTCCACAGAAGTGGCAGTTGACATTGTCCCCTTCATGTTTACTTTGGCTTGTTTGCCGTATTCATGCTCCATCATCCTCCACTCTCCTAGCTATGGTGTGTCTCCCCCTGTTCTGCCTCGCTATCATGGCGCGTGCGCCCTGAGTTACCGAGTTCACCGTCGCCATTGTAATATCCCCAGTTTTGCTATCTGCATTAGTGAAACTGAGCATTAGTTTTTGAGTACTCTCTGCCGCCCTACAGACGTCAATACATTTCTCCAGCGTTAATCTGTCTTCTCTCAATAGCCGCCGCGTTTCGTTGTCATTTATGCCTTCAATAATACGATCATGTATAATCCCATCCACCAAGTGCTCATACTCACAGTTTCTTGAAAGGATCCGCAGCTCAGTGAGAAATTGGTGAAAAGTCTCGTCCTGTTTCTGTAATCTGTTATTGAAAATATGTCTTTCAAATGCCGTGTTCTTCCTCGGTGTGCAGTATTCTTCAAATTTCCGTATAAGCGGTTCGATTTTACCCATGTCATCGTCGGCAAAAGTAAACATGCTGTATAACTCCTGCGCCTGCTCCCCCGCACAGTGAAGTAGCAGCGAGCACTGAAGCTTCTCCGGCTTACCGTCCTTCTCCGTGGCGGCCAGGTATAGATGAAAATGTTGAATCCATCTCCGCCAGTTCTCCGAAAGATTCCCTTCCAGGTTCAGGAGCAGCAGAGAGCGTAGAGAATCCATTACTGATCACCCTGGAGGCTGCCATTCCACTTCTGACACCATGTTACGTTTTCAGACACGCAGCGTTTCAATCACCACCGTGTTGCATTCAGCCATCTTTTTTTATTTCTCTGCTTACTCATACACATTGTCCACTAGATGTCGTCCTGACATATCATTACAGACAGCACAGAATCATTAACCAACTTTAATGCATTTATTTAATACAACCACATATTTCCTACATTTTGACATCAGTGATGCAGTTAAGGTTTCTTGATGCCAACCCTCCCTATTAATCCGGGCTTGGGACCGGCACCTAGTTGAGCTGACTTGCTCCCTTAAGTGGCTGGGTTAGGCTAAACTATATNAATGGGCCAAAGCAGTCCATTCCGCTGAATGTAAAAGGAAGGGATGTTTCTAAGCGATCTTCTGGGAGGTCAGCCATCCTTTGCTCTTCAGTGCATCTTCTTAATTTCCTACACTTTGTGCACTTGTAGATATGGGAAGAAACTGCCTTGCTGCAACCTAAGATCCATATACCATTAGACCACAGTTCATTAATAGTCATTCCTCGACCCTGGTGTTGCACTTGATTGTGATAGTGCTTGATTAGCAGCCCTGACACGTGACTGACTCTTGGGAGGACTGCTGGATGCTTTACATGCGGATGGAGAGTTGCATGTTTTAAGCGACCTCCCACTCTGAGGATACCTTGTTCATCCAGAAATGGGCTTAGCTTGTACAAATTGTTTCCCCTTTCTCTAGTGTGCAACTCCTTATGGTGTTTGAGATTTCTTATTTCATTGGAGAAGGCTGCCTCTTGAGTCATTCTAATAATGGTGAGCTCAGCCCCTCTCCTTTCTTCTACGCTTGTGGGTTCATAAGATTTTGGCTTGAGACCCTTGACCTCCATAGCACGTCGCTTAAGTCTGGCTACAGCTTTCACTACTCTTGTCCAATCTGAAAACTTATGCAGGTGATCCAATAATGAATTTTCTTCCTTTGCCTGGGTATCATGGACCTGGGCCTTCCGAAGCTCTGGGTCATTGTCTGATATTTCTCCCACCTTAATATCTACACTGGGAAGTTCCTTCTGCCAAAGAAAATCTGGACCTGTAAACCATTTAGAGGTGGTTAATTGTTCTGCTGTGGCACCTCTGGAGGCTTGATCAGCTGGATTCTCCTCTGAGGTTACATACCTCCACTGTTCAGCATTTGTGCTTAACCTTATACGCTGAACACGGTTGGCTACAAAAACGTGAAATCTTCTGGCTTCATTATTGATATAGCCAAGAACAACCTTTGAGTCTGTCCAGAAGAATTCACACAGACTTTCAATCTCTAGCTCCTTCCTTAGCATGTCACTTACTGGAACAGCTACTACTGCAGCTGAAAGCTTTAATCTTGGTATGGTCAGCACCTTAGTTGGAGTGACTCTTGACTTGCCTATAACAAAGGAGCAATGGATCTCTCCTGATGCACTTACCGTTCTGAGGTAAGAGCATTCTCCATAACCTGAAACGCTAGCGTCAGAGAAATGATGAAGCTCATAGGACTTGACCTCCTTGAAGCTGGATGGTATGAAGCACCGTTGAATCTTTACAACAGCTAAACTTTGAAGATCTAGAAGCCAGGACTCCCACTGAGGTCGTAGGACATCAGGAAGGGGGTCGTCCCAGCTAACCTTCTCTTGACACATCTGATGCAACATCTGCTTCCCTACAAGGATGAAAGGTGCTAAAAAACCAAGTGGGTCGTAGATGGAAGCTACTGTGGACAAGACTCCTCTGCGGGTAAGTGGCTGGTCCTTTACAACAACTCTGAATTGGAATTTGTCGGATGCGACACACCAATGAACACCAAGCGCCCTCTCCATGCATAGTTCACCCAGAGCCATATCCAGGTCCTTGGCTCCTTCAGCCCGCTCTTCCTTGGGAATTTTGGCCATTACTTCCTTACTGTTAGATATAAACTTGTGCAAACGTAGTTTACCTGCGCTACACAGCTCCCTTGTTTCTCTTACGAGCTGAATCGCTTCAACCTCGGATGGTACACTGATCAATCCATCATCAACATAAAAATTTCGTTGTATGAACTTAATGGAATCTTCACTGAAGCGTCCCTTTCCTTCATCAGCGAGATGTTTAAGCCCATAGTTGGCACAACCTGGGGATGAAGCTGCACCAAACAGGTGAACTCTCATTCTGTAAACTGAGGGCTGAGATTCTAGATCTTCATTTTCCCACCACAGGAATCTCAGATAGTCTTGGTCTTCTACTTTGACATGGAACTGATGGAACATGCGCTCTATGTCGCACATGATTGCCACCGGATACTTTCGAAAACGACACAGAACGCCCACCAAGGTGTTTGTCATCTCTGGACCTGTGAGGAGATGATCGTTCAAAGATGTGCCTTGATACTTAGCAGAACAGTCAAAAACTATGCGTATTTTTCCAGGCTTCTGTGGGTGATACACCCCATGGTGAGGGATATACCATACTGGATGCCGGTCAATTTCTGTGTCTGGGACCCTT